GATATGTGCATATACTCTTCAAACAGAGATGGGTGACATTCACTTTTTAATGAAAACATCTAATGTCAACTGTTTAGTTTGTTTTGTTTTTTTGATGAAATTCTTGAAGCCAATTTCTAAGTCCATACATAGCCTTATCCAAAAACTTGTGGTCTCCTTTAACTTTTCCAAGTTTCTTCAAAGCCTTTAGAGAGCTGAAGACTTGTGTTTGACTTAAAGGCTTAGGCTCCTGTAATGACTGGTCTTCATCATTTTCATCGTTGTCATCTTTAGATTATGTCTTAGTTATCTAGTGTTGCCATAACAAATACCACGAGTGGGTGGCTTCAACAAACAGAAGTTATTATTCTCTCACAGTCCAGTAGGCTAGAAGTCCAGATTCAGGGTGTCAGTTTCAGGGGAAGGCTTTCTCTCTCTGTCAGCTCTGGCGGAAGGTCCCTGTCATCAATCTTCCCCTGGACTAGGAGCTTCTTTGTGCAGGAAACTCAGGTCCATAGGACGCGCTCTGCTCTCAACGCTGCGTTCTTGGTGGCATGAGGCCCCCGACTCTCTGCTCACTTGCCTTTTATCTCTTGTAAGGCAAAAGGTGGTGCAGACCACACGCCAGGGAAACTGCGTTTAGTTTGGATCAGGGATGTGACCTTAGTAAGGGTGTTACAATCCCACCCTAATCCTCTTTAACATAATCTAATCTTGCCTCATTAACCACAGGCAGAGATTAGGATTTACAACACATTGGAAAATTAGAATCGCAAAATGGAAGACAGCCACACAATACTGAGAATCATGGCCTAACCAAGCTGACACATATTTTGGGAGGACACAATTCAGTCCATGACTGATTGCGAGTACACAGTTTCTTGCAGGTGTATATCATCCATTTCTGTGGCAGTTTCTTTATTGATCTGAATGTAAGATGAGGCACTGACCCTGTTTTCTGAAACACCACTATAAATGTCATTTATTGCGTCCTGAATCTGCATGATGTTATCAGGCTCCATAACTTTCATTTTGTATGCTATCGCCACTGCCAAATACGAGACCACATTTCTTACAGCATTTTCTCACGGTTTCTTCCTTTATCATTTTGATAGAACGCTTAAGAAATGAAATTGCATCAAGGATAAAGATTTTCCCAAAAATCTCCAATGCCATCTTGCACATACCAGTGTTGGCAGTCACTTTCTGAAGCAATAGCTTCCTGTAGTTTACTGTAATATTCTGGATAATGCTGTTATCCAGAGGTTGGAGGACCGACGTCATGGACAGTGGGAAAAAGAATAATATTGGACGGGGCAGTGACCAATGGCAAGTAGCATTGTCAACGACCAAAAGAATGGTTAGATTTTGTTTTTTCATGCTGTTGTTGGGTTTATTTAAAAACTCTTCGTAAATTGCTCCTGTCATCCAAGCTTTTTGATTCTATTTCCATTCTACTGAAAGCTGATTCATTTTGCCCTTCTTGAAGCAGTGTGGTTTCTTGCTCCTTGCAATTACCCATGATTTTTCAGATGTCCCATCCACAAATGCAGTCAAGCGGACGGTAAGCTGGTCTTTCAAAAACTAACCCCATGAGCTTTTCTCCTCTTTCATTTTTAGGGTCCTGTTAGGCATTGCCCTGTAAAATAGAGCAGTTTCATCAGTGTTTGTAAAGTCTTCAGGATTATATCCCCTTAAGATCTCTTTTAATTTTGAGAACCAGTTTTGAACAGTGTTCCTGTCAGCCTCATTTGGCTCCCCACGAGCTACACTGCAAGTGATCCCATGTGTTGTTTTTTTAAAACACACTCTGAAGCCACCACACATTAGACACCGAGACTCCTTCAGCTTTTAAGTTTTGCTGTTTCCTCCGCCTGTGCATGCAGGATAGGTCCTGAAACGGGAACGTTTTGGGTGGAGGCTTGAAGAAGCCACTCAAAAACAGATCTGTTGATTTCTGCATAATTTCCATTCCTTCCTTCCTTGATGTTTACATTGGTGCTGCTCATGTATTTGTCAATTATTTTATTCTTTTCTTTCATAATTGAGTAAATTTGTGTTTTGCTGCACTTGAACTTACTTACAGATTCCTTGATGGTCTTTTTCTCTTTGGTTATCATTTTGACAACGTCAGACTTTTCTTTCAGAGATAAATTTCTCACTCTCTTGTCCATGGCTCTGAAGGAGTAAGCCTTTTTAAAAAAGGAAATAAGTTCTTACAAAAATTAAAGAATTTATGATCTGATCTTCTCAAAAATGTTAATATCAAACAAAGAAAAAAATGAAAACTATCCATATCGTGACATGATAAGGTTAGTACACTTCAGTAAAATATTTTTTAAAAACTCACGAGAAGAATGTTTTTGCTTTTGTACACAGATTGAATCTGTTAATTGAGGAAATGCTTCTCTATTTTGGGGGGCAAAACAAGAAATTTTGAAGGAATTTCAAGGATATCGAGTGGATTTTGAAAATTGTCATACCAAATCAAATTGTGTACCAAAATTACAAATAGCTGAAGCAAAAACTGAAAATTAAAGGAGAAGAATAAAACCTCTCAAGACAAGGAACAAAGTGTGCTTTGCTAGGTTTTAATGAAAATAAAGGAATTTAGTAGTATTTCTTACCTTCTTCCAAACTTACGGATGTTGTTCTTTACTAGAAAATATTTACTGGCCAAAAAAAATGGTTAGATTTTGCTTTTTCATGCTGTTGTTGGGTTTATTTAAAAACTCTTCGTAAATTGCGAAAATGTAAAGAAGAGACAGAGAACAGTAGCAATACACAGTACGCACCCATACACAGTAACAATGCAAAAGGAAGTGGAAGATGGAGCCTTCATCTCTGACTCTTACACTTCTTGGAACTATTGCGGGCTTTCGCATCTGCACTTCTTCGTACTCGTGTTGCAGTACCAACAGTTTTCTGATTCTGTCCATGTCTCGTAGTTCTGGCTTTCAGAGAATATTAGGCTGAAGTAATCACTTCAGTGGAAAATATTCGAGTTTTCCTTCTCTGACAGGTTTCCACCTTACACAGGTTTTGGCTTTAGCAGGTTTTATTGTAGTAAATTGTTTTTCAGAATTCTAATACATTCTCTCTAGCAATTTGTGCATTTCCATTTCTCCACATTCTTGGAACAATGGCATTATCAGACTTAACTCATCCTTGCCAGTCTGATGGGTGTGATACATTTCCCTGATTATTAGTGAGATTGAACATTTTTTAATGTGTTTGAATTTATTTTAATTTCTCCTGAGATATGCCTGTTCATTGCCTTTAAGTGGGGCTGATATTTCTTGAGGTCAGAGGGCCCTTGGCCTTGGACCTAATGCCTCAGAATATGCAATAGAAAATACTGCTGCATAGTATCATGAAGTTAAATTGATGGGTTAGAGTAGGTTTAGTCCTTGCTCTATTGTTTTATTTACACTTATGCCATTCAGTTTTCTTGATGCTTCATTATTGCTGACAGTGTCTGTTGCAGGCAAGGGTTCAGATGAGTTACTTGATTTAAGTGTGTAAGTATTTAACAAAAAATGTCTTTTAAAAAGTACTATTGGAGTTTTTAAAAAGATAAACAGTCCTACCATATAATCCAGCAGTTGTGTTCCTAGGTACTTACCCAAATGAGCTGAAAGCTTATGTCCGCCATGAAAGCCTGCAGTGTTTACAGCAGCTTCATTCACGATTGTGAAAAACTGGAAGCGACCAAGATGTCATTCAGTGGGTGAACCGATGAACCATGCTCCATCCATCGTTCTGTGACGAAAAGAAATAAGCCCTCAAGCCATGAACCCTAAATGCATACCGTATCATATTTTTATGCAAAGAACACGTGTGTTATAAGTTTGTCAACCCTGCCCTCCCCTCCCCCCAGGTATTTTCGTAAGCATTCTACACTAGTTTCTTTTTACATGTTGTTTTTAAAAAAATCAGCATAGCGTGCTTTCAGAAATACCTGGGCAGGAATAGGGCATGGTTGGCAAAAAACGTGTAACGCACACATTATTTGCGTAAAATGTGGTATTTCTAAGTCAAAGAGGGCAGTCTGAAAAGACCACATATTGTATGATTCCAACTCTATTGCATTCTAGAAAAGGCAAAACTAAACAGTAAAAAGAACAGTGGTTGCCAGGGGTTTGGAGAGGGATATGGAGAGGGAATGAATAGTTGGAATACAGGGGATTTTTAGGACAGTGAAACTTGTTCTGTTTGATATAGTAATAGATACATGACATTATGCATTTGCCAGAACTCAGAAGAACAACTGAGAATGAACCCTAACGTAAACTATGAACTTTAGCTAATGATAATGTGTCAATATTGGTTCTTCAGTTCTAACAAGTATACCACACTAATGTATGATGTTAGTATTAGGGGAAACTGTGTGGGAGAGTGGAGAAGGGAGTATATGGGAACTCTGTAACATCTGCTCACTTCTTCTGTGAACTTAAAACTGTTCTAAAACAAAGTCTATTGATTATTAAAAAGTACATCATTGAATTCATATCTTACCAAGTGTACCCGATTATATGGAACAATTTTTATTTTTAATAAAAATGTTTTAAGATTATTATTTTATTTATGAAATCTGTTTTCAGGCCTACTATTTCTATTTTCTATGTGTCTGTAAATAAGAGAAAAATTCACATTGAAGATTATTTAATTCCTTTTTGCTTTCTTAATGTTGTATAGATTATTGGGTTTGTATGTTTTTATTTGTGTGCATAGTTAAATAATTTAGAGCAAAGATTTTGCATATTTTTTATTAGAAATCTTCCCAAATATTGTAATAGATAGTCTGGAATGTTTGTCTTGATTCTTATAAATTCTTTATAATATGTTATATTTCATTGATGATAGGACACATCTTAAACCCAGTGACATCTGAGATTCAGTGAAATACGATATGTCTAACAAGTCTCCAGGAGAAGGAATTTAATAATTATCTCAGAATTATTGTAAGTTTTTCAGGATGTTATGGGATCGCTCTGATTTTCTTCACACCTGTCTTTCAGATGCTCTTTGTGTGGGTACGTATGCAGCCATCCTCCTTCTTTGAAGTCTCATATGTGGAAGCATGCAAGTGACCAAAATTATAACTACGAACAAGTAAACAAGGCTATTAATGATGCAATTTCACAGAGTGGCAGGTATTTGTTCCTATTCCCTCCCTTTATTATTATATCTAAATTGAAGCTAGGACTAAGTATATTAGTGCTACATGATAGCCAGCTCAAGGTTTGGTGTGTTTTGTTTTGTTTTGAAGAGTTCTGGGGAAATCCCCTGGAAAGACTCTCTTAAACAACGGTGAAGACAGAAGCGATCCTATCAGTGGAAGTTCAGAAAATTTGGTGTCGTCCTCAGAGCTGATTTCCCAGACTCCCAGTGAAGCTGTAGGTCCCAACGAGAGTGAGAAACTGAGCCTAACAAGTAATACCTCGTGTAGTTTAGAAAAAAACTTCAATCTGGCCCCTCCTGGTATGGAATATTGCGTTTTACTCTTCTGTTGTTGTATTTGTGGTTTTGAATCAACCAGCAAAGAAAATCTCTTGGATCATATGAAAGAGCATGAGGGTGAAATTGTAAACATCATCCTAAATAAGGACCACAACACACTCTAAACACCAGTTAGATGGGATACTTACTTGAAGAGGGCAGAGTTGGAAGAAAAGATTCTTAGAACCAACAGTTTTGCCTTTGCGCCAATGTCAAATAATTTACTAGACAAAGAAGAAGTGGTGTGATTTTGGAGGAAGTGACAGAGATGACTTTGGAAACAAATTTGCAGTGTAATAAAAGGAATTCCAAATGGGTAAGTGGTATATATTTTGATTGAAGGGAAGTGGGTTGAGGAAGAAGCAAAAATGTAATCCTGTATTAACCCTCTGTCACTCCCTCTTAATACTGAGTATATTTATTGTTGAAAGCTTACTGTAGTGTAGACATGCGAGCAAGAGTTAAGAATGGGCTTTTCAGGAACTACTGTTACGGAAGTGTCGCAGTCATAAGCAGAGGTTCGTTTTCTTTGTTCTCAATTTTGACGTGCCAAGTTTAGAATGGCAGCCTCTTGTGAAAAACAGGAGGTAGCTCTCTAAAGTTTTGTTTTGTTTGTTTGTTTGTTTGTTTTTTGACTACCCACAGAGTCAGCTGGGAAACAGTTTAGAGGGCTTTGAAGTGATCTACCTAAATCTTGCCCTAAATTGATAGGAATTAATCATATACTCAATCTAGGATATGTTCCTTTACTCCTTAAAAAGGAAAGAAAGAAAGAAAGAAGATCTCTAAATCCAAATCTGGACTGTAAATAGGCATTTAAGGATTAAATTAGTCTTAATTAAATTTACAGTGAATTCCAGTGGGCAAAGGAGGAAGTCGGTGAATTCCTACCAAACTTAAACCGCATCTCAAGCTTCACAGAAGTGGCACCTCACTGAGGGCAGCACACTTCTCAGAGGTTCTTTTCAGCGTGTTTGTCAGAGCACTGCCCATTTTCTCCATAGTACATAAACCTAATCCTCTCTTCTAAGCCAGACCAGGCTTGTTCTCTGAAAAAGTCGGTTAAAGCAAAATAAAATAAAATTTATACTTCATCATCAGACCTTGAAAATAGTTTGAATTCTAAAATAAAAATGATTTGGGGGATGAGGACTGGAATTCCGTGTCTCCTTAAAATGAGTACTGCTATTGAGATTTTTCTTCCCAGAGTTGAGTATCCTAGTTATATTTAATGTAAGAAGAATAAACAAATATGGCTAAAATACAGTAAAAATTCAGGTTGTTTATAAAAATTTTAATAACAAACAGCACTTGGCAAGTCTACAGGATTTCTCCTATCGAGAAAATCCCATTTTGTTAAAGTACACACAGGATATGGAAAACCAACTTCAAAATGCTTTTGCAGTAAAACCGGCCATCAAATAGGTAGAATTTTTTCCTCATTCATTAAACATTTTGTATTACTGTGTATTTCAGAGTGGAGAGAACAGGGCCTTTGTTCTTGTAGTTCTGATCATTTATTTATGTATGATCTTGTTAAAGAAAGTTCTGCCTACAAGTTGAAGGTTGGTGCGCTGTTCAGTGCACCGCGCTCATGGTGCTATTTCTGAACGTGATTTTCTAACATCTACAGTTGAGGCTGTGGCTCTGGTCAATTTTGAACATCGAAAAGAATTTTTGAATGGAATACTCTGTAAACACATTTTAGGGAAGGATTCTGTTCCCAAAGTCCAGGTATAAATTGAATAAATTACCTTTTTTAAGATGGCGTTAGGAACTATTGAAGTGGGGCCAGATATCTTGAAGCATTGTCCGATTTGTTTTTTAATCTCATTTTTTTATGGTATTTAAACAAAAAGGATTGTAACTTGCAACTCATTAATTTAGGTAGCTTTAATTTATTTATGAAAATTATCCATTTTTGATACGTTTTTTAAAAGATGAAATGAATTTATATATACTAAATTATATTGCCCAAATTCACTGTGTGTGGATTTATATTCATTTTCTCCTGTTTTCACAATTTAAGTATTTAATTTCAAATTCAAATAAAATATTTTGAATAGTTCTACTATCATCGTCCGTATTGTCGCCGCTCGTATTGTGGGCGAATTGTTTCGTTGCTGGTAGTTGTGGCTCATTATTTCTATGTAAAAAGCCATTATTCTAAAAACTAACCCTAGAAGATTTTGTTTTATAAATTTTCCCTTGGCTTTAATTTTACGTAATCACTTGGAAACTACTACTAACCAAAAAACATCCAAATTTTTTTCAGCAGTGTGAATGTTTAAATTGTCTTTCCTCATTTCCTTAAACCACTTGCACTGAATATTACTTAAATTTCCATTTGGAATTCATGGATGTAAAATTTCCTTACCTCGTGAGAAAAAATTTTAACCCAGAAGTTCAAAGCCTTTCAACTTTCATCTGATTCAGGCCTAGAATGTCCTCCAGAGCTTTCTCCTCACCTGCAGAGGAACCATATGCCAGGAGTGTTCTGCATCTTCCCGTTATTGTTTGGTGGCAAGCCTTAGGTTAACAGTCTCTACCAAGAACAACTGAGTATTTCTAAAATAATGAAGATTAAACATGCAGTTATAATTGTAGAGGAGATAATGTATTAAAATCATCAGTAGGAATCCCCTTTATAGGAATAAATTTTTATTGGTTCTTGACCTTTTGTCATACAAAGCTCATACTCGTTTTTTCTGCTCTGGACACTTACAGTTCTAAGATCTGATGTGAAAATGGTTTTTCAAAGAAACTAAACAAACAGAGGTGGGGAAGGGGGAAGAGGACTTATTCTGATCATTATAAATAATGTTATTCAGGGGCTGTGTTGTTTTCAACTTTCTCTGAACATCCAGAATATGATTGATGTCCCAAATGTCCTAGCAGTACCATAGCTATATTCCATTTATCTGTAGACTTTTAAGTTCTGTAGCCAGCCAGCAAGTGCAGTGTTGTGACACTGACTGAAGCCTTTGTTTGAAACCTTTCATCCTATTCGAGGTAGCTGTCAGTGGCTTCATAATTATTTTGTTTTTTTCTCACAAAGCAAGTGGTAGGCATCCATGTTTACATTGTATCTTCTGCAGTGTACTTGGCTTGACAAAGACAAGCAGGCTTCTCTATTAAGACCTATTATATTTTTAGTTTTCATAGACACTTATTTAATCTTTTTGTGTTTTACTGTACAGCAAGGTGCTCTAAGTAATGTTCTATAAAGTATATTTAATAGAAATTTGAGTTTGATATTCATGGACATGAATACATGTATTTTTTTAAGACATAAGTATTGTGTAACACTATGGCATTGCTTCTATAGCCAAAGTACAAAGACTTTTGGAACACTGACATGTAAAGACTACAGTTAATTCTGACATTGTATCTTATTAAAATAGGATGATTTGCATTTTGTAAAATTATCCTGCACATCAAGCTGCATGCCTTAAAGCCTAAAACTGTAGGATTGTGTTCGCGGTAGAACAGTTTATCTGTTCAGAACAAACAGTGAAGCAAGGTTATAGCGCTTCTTTAACTACCTTTGGAAATACTGTACAATGTTAGAATAATTTATTTTGCTTTACAGGAGTTTGTCATGTATTGACTTTAATATTGTATTTTGGTAATAAATTTTTTTGTTAAAAACATTTGCCTCTAAGTTTTATTACAAAATTTTATGTCCATGCTTATCTTGGAAATGTTGATTTAATCACTTAGAAAAACCCATTAACACAGAGTCAATTCTGACTCACAGCGGCCTTATAGGACAAGAGTAGAACTGCCTCAGGGTTTCCAAGGAGCAGCTGGTGGATTCGAACTGCCTTTTGGTTAGCAGCCAAATGCTTAACCACTGCACCACCAGGGCCCAATCACTTAGAAAGTTGTGTTTAAACCATTAAAAGTTTCCCAAGAGTTGGCATCTTGTTAAACTGTTGCTGACTAGCATTAATCTGTGTTACATAAGATAATTGAAAAAAAAAAATTAGATTTTTTAAAAATCATTTTTAAAATTCAGTCTAATTTTGAAGCTTTTATCCTTGATACACAGGTTCATTTTATCTTCCAAATCACATTTTTACATGCTTTCAATTCCAATATAATCAAACTGCTGAAGACTAGTTGATGTTTTGCTAATGTCAATGAGCATTCCTTATTGAAGGCCAAAGATTCCCTTGATCATTTTGTCGTCTTCATCAAGTATTTTCTAACATTAGATTTCTTGTGTGCCCTAGAATCCTGGGCCACCTTGGGTTGAGGTGACAGAGGCCAAACTTTTCTTCCTAACAGCTGTAATCTCTTGCCCTATGCTCCCCTGGGGCAACATAATCATATCACTTAAACCTTCCAAGAACCAGATCTCAATACTGTGTCACTAAACCTCAGATTACTTTTAGAAATTCCAGCATGAGAGTGTAGGACATCACCGTCCAACATGGTAACCACTGTCACACGTGGCTATTGAGCACTTGAAATACGGCTTACTGTTGCTGTAAAATACATATTAGTTTCGAAGACTTAGTACCAAAAAAAATGTAAACTATCTCAATAGTTTTTTATATTGATTACATGTTGAAATGATATTTTGGATATATTGGGTTAAAATAAAATATTAAAATTAATTTCACCTGTTTTTACTTTTTGTAATGTAACTACTAGTTAAATTACATCTACGTGGTTCACATTATATTCCTATTTGACAGCACTAGTATACAAGAAAGATTGGCAAGCTCTTACATCAGATCCAGCCTGCAGCCTGTTTCTGCAAATAAAGTTTTATTGGAACGTAGCCACGCCCGTTATATATCGGATATGGCTGTTTTCCTACTGCAGCAGCCGTTGAGTAGTTCAGGTAAAGAGTCTGTGTGGCCCACAAAGCCCAGATGATCTGCTCTCTGTTCCTTGCTGACCTCTGGACTGGAACAGTGGTATAATCTGAGCTTTAAAGCCACCAGAAATAATCTTTTTATAAAGAAAGCTTTTTATAACTAAACTATATTGTTTCTCCCTCTCTAATTCTTATAAAGACTACTTGTTCTTCTATGACCCTTATCCATAATTGTGATTTTAACCTGTTTGATCTTTTCTCATATTTAAAACCAAACATAATTTGTTTAAAATAACAAATAGTTAACAAATATTTGTTTAAAGTAACAGATAATGCTGCTATAAAAAGGTATTATCTTGTTTTCCTCTGACAACCTTACAGTGCTTTTGTTCGCCCTTGCTGCTTCGCCCTTTCACTGCTATATCCGATGATGTGGTCACAGCACCTGCATATGTAACCATGGTACAAGGTAACCGTGGTAACTAATCCACTCAGTTGTCAGTTGACTTGACTAATCCAGGATGTAAAGAAGGATCTTAGATGCGCCTCTTTATAATGAATAGCATGAGTGAGTCTAAAGCCATACTGATAAGGAGAGACAGCTTCAGTGTAGAGCTGTTGACTAAACGGCAGAGCCAAGAAAAAGTCACAGTACTCTCCTCTGTAAATTTGTTCCACGTCAGCAAAGGTGAAAAGTTTTGGCCCGACAGAAACGTAGAGGAGTTTGTTTTTGACTGGTGCCGTGTGATACACTTACCTAGGTAGTGTGTTTTTGTTTCTCTCTCAGAAGCTACATGAGTGTAAGATGCTTGAACCATTTCAGAATTTTGTATGTGCAGCAACACCCAGTTGCATACTGTGTTGGGAGGCTGCAGACCTCATTTCTCTGGTAGGTACTTTAATAAATATGCTGTATCTAGGTTTATCGTTTCAGTCATGAAGTATCTGTAAGATTATGACAATAGTCTATTAGTTTTTCCAACAGTGGGTAATCAAGAGCTTGCCTCACAAAATTACGGTCAATTTTCCTTTGATTTTTAAAAACTAATTATGTAATTAATATACTTACATATTTTACGTAATGTATAAAATATAAACATATTTAAGTATAATTAACATATACATAAATATAAATGAGAATTTGTTGTATAACAAAGTTGTCAAACGCTGATGTCGTTTAGCTTCTGAACTCAGCCAAATTTACACCAGTGTGTTTACTTAATCCAGATAGTGAAGGTGCCATTCTGTAACAGTTTGCAAAACTGAATGTAAGGCAGGTACTTACACAGTACTACTGAGATACAAGAGACTTTGTTGAGCCCTAGTGGCAGATGGGTTAAGATCTTCGCTACGAACCAAAAGGTCAGAGTGTGAATCCATCAGCCACTCCTTGGAAGCCCTATGGGGCAGTTCTACTGTGGCCTGTAGAGTCGCTATGAGCCGGAATCCACACGACAGCAATGGGTTTGGGTTTTGTTTTTTTTTGTTGTTGTTGTTTTATATATTAGATAGATGGAGTTTCATGTACACAAATCAGAAAATAATGAATCTTTAGTCATAAGCTCGGGCCCAGCTATTCCATCTTTCTGACTTCTCAGCTATGTCCTTTGTTAAAACGAAAAAAAATGTTAAATATACTTAAAATTATCTCTGTCACTGCCCCTGGTTATCAGTAGTAATCAAGTACGGGTCTCTAAGTCAATAAAGTATGTTATCTCGAATGTGTGCACAATGGGAAATTGTGACCTAAAGAGACCTTCAACAAAGTAGGACAAGTTACTCATTTTCAGGTCTTTTATTAGCACCCGCTAGTTTTATTAAAGGCTCACTGTCGCTACAGCACGCATCTCCAGATTTTTGGTTTTTTTCCTACTTGTCATTTTATTAATTTTAGTATCCATATTTCAGAAATAATGTGGCTGCATTTTACTGAAATAGGCACATCAATTCACATCTTGCTCTTTTTGTTTATATCTGTAGTTTTATTTTTTAGATTCAGTAGTTCAATCACAAAAGGTGTTAGAAAATTCTTTTGCAAGCTTATGAGAAAAAGTATGGCAGGACGAGGTTCAAATATTAAGCTGTATTTATTTCTGATCCTCTACAGCTAACATTCTTAAAAAAACGTTATGCTGAAATAAATAATTGTGGGAAACCAAGGTTATCTTCATTTTCTAAGGCCCTCCCCGCCCCCGCCCGTGCCTGAAGCACGAGAACAGAGTATCCTCCAATGAGGATACTGGAGTCCATGCAGAGGTTAAACACTCCCTACAATGAGGCTCTTCATCTGTCCCCAGCTAGACTAACCTTGTGCTCAAGCTGCAAATACTGTTAAAGAGGCACGAACGTGTTATGTGACCATTGTTTAAAAATTACTTTGTAATAATAGGGAAAACAATAAGTGTGTCTTATGGGAAAGCAGTCACCATATCCCATCTGGAAGTAGGCGGGAGGACAAGGCCAACGGTCAGGGAGCCAGAGCAGCACACAGGGTGTGTGTAGCTACCGCCCTGGTTTGGATGTAGCTTGGCTTTACCTTTTTTAACCTTGTAGGAGCTCTGTTAGATCCTCTATTTTCTTAAATGGAAAATGGTAATAGGATATCTACCTCATAGAGTCATATAGATTAAATGAGATAGTCTATAAAATATTCAAATTTCTGACCCAGTTGTGGACAGTGCTGGGTTCCAGTCCTAGCTCAGTAAGCCATGTGACCTTAAGCACGGTATTTATCCTTTTCTGAGCCCCAATTTCTTCAACCGTAAATAGCCTGGTAGGGTGGTTGTAATGATTAGCAACCATGTATATTAAGCACCTGAACATAGAGGAGCTCAGATAGTGGTTGCTAGTAGAGTTTGAGCATTAATTATGAGAAGGAAAAAGTTAAACTGCCCTTATTATGATACCGAAGCTATTAGCTACATTCTTGGAAAGGAACCTAAGAAACATACCGGTTTGTCTTTGAGGACGTAAACTCAAAACCAAATATCCTATCCCTTAAAATACACCAAAAAAGACAAGCCTGGTTTATCAGTACCTAGTAGATTGTACACAATTAATTACACCCAAAAAGATACTAGTCCAGGAGAAAGTGTTAAACATTACCCTCTTACCATTATGTTAAGTTCTCTAATCACTGATGTAGAGTTCTTTCACCTCTATAAACTGCCATTAAGGATTTATTTTCTTCTACCTTATTGGATACAAGAAAACCATGAGAGTGAGACTTTCCCTAAATAAGCTAATGAGCTGGCTGGATTGGTAAAACTGAAGCCTAAGAGAGAGAATCCTACTGGTGATGGTATGCATTCAGTATTATCAGCTGCTAACTATACAGTGAAACAATGAGAAGAAACTCAGCGGGGAGAGTGTGTTGGACTACTTGGTAGAAGTTCTTGGAGAGCTAAGAAATGGCCTGTCCCAGATGGTGCAAGGTTCACACTCAAGGTTAACCGTCTCCCAAGGACGGTTCATCTGCAGGACTCTGGTGCTGACCATTCCTAAATCTGAAGCAGTGGCGTCACGAGGGGGCTGTGAGGGGGTGCAGACCGCACCAGGTGACACTGTCAGAGGGGGTGACACCAAAATGACTGTCTTAAAATTGTTGCGCAGTGTTTCGGCAGAAATTATTTTTTATAAAAATATCCCTGTAGTTAGTTAGAGGGGCCCTGGTGGCACAGTGGTTAAGAGATCGGTGCTAACCAAAAAGGTCAGCAGTTCAAATCCATTAGCTGCTCCTTGGAAACCCTATAAGGCAGTTCTGCTCTGTCCTATAGGGTTGCTATGATTAGGAATTGACTTAATGGCATCAGGTTAGTTAGTCAGAACAACAAAAACATTTTTGTAAGCCCAGCTTACATGTATCAATATACTTACAAGACTAAAACTCTTATGCTAATTAACTTTTTGAACCTTCTAACATGCTCTGGTCGGAGCTGTCATTATTACCCAATTACAATACCACTTCGAATCACGTGGTTTCATCTGCAAACACTACAAGCATGTGCTATTCTTTTCGTAACTGCCAGTGTTTTTATAGTCACTGATGTTGTCAAATTTTCTGGTGCTTTAGCTACAATATTGTGGTAATTAGTATTTGTGAACGTATATCAACAACTTTTTTGTGAATGAAAAGAGTAATTGAAGTAGAAAAATCAAAAAAGGCTTCTGCTCAGTTACTAATAATGTTATAACTAACGTACAGAGATTTTACAATTATTGTAAGTATTCGTATCATCTAAGAAATAATAAATTTAAACAATTTACAACTATATCACATATTCTATGATGAAAATTGACAGTGAACATTACTAAGGATTCTGTATGATCTGGTACCAGAAGCGGTCCATGGGGGGTTGGTGACACCAAGAGTTACTGCACTGGGTGACACCAACCCTAATGATGCCACTGTTCTGAAGTGTACCCAGAGCGATCTACAGGCGGACTGCAATCCCAATCCAAATACCAACAGTATTCTTTAATGAGATGGAAAAACTAATCACCAACTTTACATGCAAAGACGAGACCCCAGATAATCAAAGCTTTATTGAAGAAAAAGAACAAAGTAGGAGGCCTCACACTACCTTACCTTATCTTAGAACCTACTATACAGCCATGGTAGTCGAAACAGCCTGGTAGTGGTAGGACAACAGGCATATAGACCAATGGAACAAAATTGAGAACCCAGATGTAAATCCATTCACCTTTGGTCAGCTGATCTTTGACAAAAGACCAAAGTCCATTAAATGATGAAAAGACAGCTTTTTAAACAAATGGTGCTGGCAAAACTGGATGTCCATCTGTTAAAAAAAAAAAAATGAAACAAGACTCATGCCTCACACCACACACAAAAACTAACTCAAAATGGATCAAAGACCTAAATATAAAGCCTAAAACAATAAAAATCATGGGGAAAAAAAAATAGGGGCAACACTAGGGGCCCTGATAAATGGCATAAATAGAATATAAACCATAACTAACAATGCACAAACATCAGTAGATAAACTAGGTAACTGGGAGCCCCTAAAAAAACACTTATGCTCATCAAAAGACTTCACCAAAAGAGTAAAAAGAGAACCTACAGACTGGGAAAAAAGTTTTGGCTACAACATAACAGACAAGTGTCTAATCTCTAAAATCTATAGAACACTTCAATACCTCAACAACGAAAAGACAACCCAATTAAAAAACAGGCAAAGGATATGAACAGACACGTCACCAAAGAAGACCCTCGGGCGACTAACAGACACGTGCTGTGATCATTAGCCATTAGAGAAATGCAAAACTATGATACATCATGTCACCCCAACATTAGGGGGAGAAAAAAACCAGGAGCTGCTGGTGGCTTTGAATTGCTGACCTTCTGGTTGGCAGCTGAACTCTTAACCACTGTGCCAGCAGAGCTAACAAAATAACGAATGTTAGGTTGTGAGGAGACGGACACTCTTAGGCATTGCTGATGGGAATTTACAATAGTGCAGCTGTTCCCGGGGGCCTCAGGTCTCTCTTGGCGGTGACAGCGAAAGAAGCAGCTTTATTTGGTTGGCCAAGCAAAGGAGCACACTGGGCTTTCGTCACCAAGATGGCTCCCCAAACAATAGCTGCGAGGGCTTTTATCAGGGATATAAACTGGGGAAGGGTCCTTACAGAAGGAGCAGGGTCCCTGATTGGCCTGGCCGGAAAAGGCATTTTCCAAATGGTTCCGTCTTCTGTGCCTACTCAGTCCGGAAGGCGGGGCCGCAAAGTTGGCCTTTTGCCTAGGTCCGCGGCATAGACTGGGCTGTGTATTCAGCCTTTGACATCACAAGTTCAGGCTGAGGACATGCTGAGCGCTACTGTGCATATCAGGCGGGCCAGAGCTGGTTTCAACCGCTTCCTCGACACTAGTCTCATTTTTCTTGACGGAAGCCAGCAGCTTGCCTAAAAAGGAAAACATCTGAAGCGGGAAGTTAGCCTTTTCTTGCCTATGATGGCTGCCTGGAGACCGCTGGTCACACAGCCACTATGGAAAACAATATGGCACCTTCTTAAAAAGTTAGAAATACTGTATGATCCAGCAATCCCACTCCTGGCACCTCCTTAAAAAGTTAGAAATACTGTATGATCCAGCAATCCCACTCCTAGGAATATATCCTAGAGAAATAAGAGCGGTCACATGAATATACACATGCACACCCATGTTCATTGCAGCACTATTCACAATAGCAAAAAGATGGAAACAACCTAAGTGTCCATCAGCAGATGAATGGATACACAAATTATGGTACATACACACAGTGGAATACTATGCAATGATAATGAACAATAGTCAATCCGTGAAATATAACATGGATGAATCTGGAGGGCATTATGCTGAGTGAAATAAGTCAACCACAAAAGGACAAATATGAGACCACTATTATAAAAACCCAAGAAAAGGTTTACATACAGAAAAAACAATCTTTGATGGTTACGAGGGAGGCAAGGGGTGGGGAGGGGAAATCACTGATAGCAGACAAGCGTTAACTTTGGTGAAGGCGAGGGGTAGGGAGGGGAAATCACTTAACTAGATAGTAGACAAGTATTGACTTTGGTGAAGAGAAAGACACCCAATATAGGGAAAGTCACCACAACTTGACCAAGGCAAAGTCTTAGAAGCTTCCTAGACACATCCAAATACCTTGAGTTACTGAGGCTGAGGGATGGGGACTATGATCTTGGGAATATCTAGGTCAACTGGCATAACATAGGTCATAAAGAAAATAAATGTTCTGCAACCTACTTTGGTGAGTAGCGTCTAGGGTTCTAAAAGCTTGCAAACGGCCATCTATAACACACTTATTGGTCCCAACACATTTGGAGCAAAGGAGAATGAAGAAAACCAATGACAAAAGAAAAATACTAGTCCAGAGGACTAATGGACCACATGAACCACGGCCTCCACCAGCCTGAGCCCAGAAGAACTAGATGGTGCCCAGCTATCATCACTGACTGCTCTGACAGGGATTACAATAGAGGGTCCTGGGCAGAGTGGGAGAAAAATGTAGAATATTCAAATTCACAAAAAAAGACCAGACTTAATGGTCTGACAGAGATGGAAGAACCCCTGAGACTATGACCCCAGACACCCTGCTAACTCAGAAGTGAGGCCACTCCTGAAGTCCACCTCTCAGCCAAAGATTAGACAGGCCTATAAAACAAACAGTAATATACTTCTTAGTTCAGTCAAGGGACGGGAAAACTAGATGAATAGCCACTGAAAAACCAGGGCGGGAAGGGAAACGGGGAGAGTGCTGACACACTGCAGGGATTGCAACCAACGTCACAAAATAATTTGTATAAAATTTTTGAATGAAAAACTAATTTGCACTGTAAATTTTCATCTAAAACACAAATTTAAAAAATAAATAAACTTTAAAACAGTAATACTCCTGCGAGTAGAGGTGCTGGAATCAAATTCTAGCTGCACCCATACCTTGTATTAAACACCCCCAAGGTTTTTGAAATCAAGAGAATGCCCAGTCTTGCCCACAGTCATTTGCATTTACACAGCACCTTTTAGTTGATTTTCTCAAACACTTAACAACTACTAATTGAGTTTCTAAATACCCGAGACAGCTTTTCTGGCAAAACCTATCCAGTAAAATTTACATTCTAGTTTTTTAAAAAGACATCTATATTCTTCCATGAAGTAAGAAACAAACAAACTAGGGAATCTGTATCAGATCAGACAGTCGGACTGATTGATTCTGGACCCTTTACTGAGTTATTCGGGTTCTGCTTCTCGTAGTTAGCCATTCCTTCATACTAGCTTCTTCATTAAATAACTGCTAAAAGCTTGTGCTTAGGGAGTTTGTGATCATCAAAGAAACAAGAATAATAATGTGCATGAAACAACACATTTAACCTTAACCCTCAAAAGAAAGTACTTTTCAAAAAAAGGAAGTACTTTTCACATGAGTTGTGGCAGACACCGCCAGCCGTTCCCCTACACCCTTTCTTCTTTCATAGTGATAGAATTTTTAGCTGGACACAAAGCTGGCCAGCTAGAGACTGTATTTTCCAGCTTCCTTTGTAGATGAGGCCATGTGGTCAGATTATGGCTAATGGATATGAGTAGAGTGATAAACGTGAAACTTCTAGGTTGTACCCTTAAAATTGAGGGCAGTTCCACCCTCTTCCCTTTGTCTTTTCTGCTGGCTGGTAAGCGGATGTGGTGATGAGCCCTCACAGACTACAAGTGTGACACTATGGTCACAGCATATTAGCAGTAAGCTAGGAGGACCCTGGGTCCTTGTCACTGCAGAGCTATTACATGACAGAGAAATAAATGTCTTGTCGAAGCCAGTTTTTTGAGGTTTCAGCGCCCAACTTCCATCTTAATTAATACTGAATCCTCAGCTATTATTTGTAGTCCGCCCCTCAATTTATATACAGTGAAATCTGTGAGAGCCAGAACTCGATGGGACCATCTTGTTCTTCCAGGTCTTGCAACTTTCCCGCCTTTCACAGGGTGCAGCTTACCACTTTTCTATCACTGTCAGTGGAAAATATTTGCGTTTTCCTTCTCACACAGATTTCTTACATAGGTTCCGGCTTTTGCAGGTTTTACTATTGGAGGGAAAAAATATACTTCCGGCATTCTACCAGGAATCCAATAGCCAAAACTTTTTCTAGATCATGTTT